TTTGTCGCATGAACAATTCTTCTCTGCTCCAAGGGGTACACCTTTAGCTTGTCTAAAAGGGAAGCCGAATGAGCGTTCCTAAGTTTATGACAGATAATTCGGACACACTGCTTTTGTATTACGTCAAGCATCTTTAATTGCGGTTTAGATTGACAAGGTATAATATGCTGGCATATTCTTATTGATTTCGTATAAGTCCTTTATACGCTATATATAAAATATATATATATATATATATATATTGTTGTAATATTAGCTTTTTTCCAGATTTCAGGAAATACACCCTCATCTATAGGTTTGTTTAGAATGATGGTTAGATTTGTTGCTAGAGAATCGGTCAATCGTTTGATTAAATAGGCTGAGAGTCCATCATGTCCAGCTGGTGAGTTGTTTTTTAATTGGTTAAGTACATTCCATACGGTTTCTGTTTTCACTAACTTAAAACTAAAGCTGTCGATTTGGTCACAACTGTATGGCTAGACAAGTGAAGTCCTATGATTGCATTTAACTACTGAAGCTAAATGGTTATTTAGATTGTTTAAAATGATTGTATTTTTATCAAGGGTTTGATTTTTATCTTTAGTATTGAAACACATTTTCTTAATATACTTCCAACCATCTTTGGAGTTTTTCCTTTGGAATGCCTCTTTTCCTTTGTTTATTTCAAACTTCTTTTTAAAGCTTCTGATCTGTTTTTTAATATCATTAAATTATCTGTTTTTTAATATCATTAAATTATAAATATCATTAAGTTCTTTTTCTTTTTCATCTATAAACTCTAAATGTTTCCCCCTTTTTTTTAGCTAAATAATCTCTTCTTTTTATCATAACTTTTATTTCTTTGTCGATCCATTAGGCCGCAACCTAACCACTGTGTCACGGCCGCACTTACTAGCTCGTTTGTTGTCATTGTTGGCTCAAGTCTAATTAATTCAATTTTCTTATTGGGATCATTGAAGTTTACATTTTTTTCTTTTAGATACATGTTTCAGTTTATTTATAATTGAATCTGTTTTTAATGGTCTTTTAGATGTTTCAGTTTATTTATAATTGAATCTGTTTTTAATGGTCTTTTAGATGTTTCAGTTTATTTATAATTGAATCTGTTTTTAATGGTCTTTTAGATGTTTCAGTTTATTTATAAGTGAATCTATTTTTAATGGTCTTTTAGATACATGTTTCAGTTTATTTATAATTGAATCTGTTTTTATTAATGCTGATATTTTTTGATTATGATTATGGCAATTATATCAAAGCATGTAGAACAGGTATTTGATGTTCTGATGGGTTTAGTATTCTGAATCCTCGCTCCAGCCAACATAATTGTGGTAATAAAGATCTGCATTAAGCAGTGCCGTGGCAAGTGGGTCTGGCCCCCCCCCAAAAAAAAAAACTAGCTTTTTGGGCCCTAATTTTTTATTTATTTTTACTAAAAAAGTGGATAAAATTAAAAGATTACCCCAAAAAGCAGGGTACCTGACATATTTTAACGTCACCGTTCGTAAGGCTAAAAACAATCAAATTAACGTTTAAATTCAATTAAATCTATTTTATAATTGTTAAATTGATATAGAGTTTACTAGTAAAGAGTTTTTTTAAATAGTGTTAATGTCTTACACAGATAGTACAAGTACGTCGCAAAGCATCAAAAAAAGGGTTTACTACGTGTTTTCATGTTTGCAAACTCATTTATTATGCCTTCATAACTTAATTTCCTTACAACCTCGATTTGAATTGACAGCGTTGCTAAAGAAGAAAACGTTCATCGATCATTGTTGACCTATTTAAAGATACAAAGAAATATAGCTACATGTATTTATGTATAATGAAGCAAGATTGATTATACTAACCTATGAAAAGTTTTAATTAGTTTTAACTTGCTAAAGCTACGTTCTGTACTTGCAATAGTAACTGATACAGTAAGAATGGTTCGTAACGCAACAACTAAATTGTGATAAGTTTCTTGTAGCTCTTCTTTGAGGCATATTTTTCCTCGTTGTTAATTATGACAAATCGTTAACTCCATTTCTAAATCCTCAAAATCTATATCACCAAGCTTCATTTTCAAACTTTTGCAATATATAGACAAAGAATTTTCATTACAGACTTTGATAAGACTCTCAAATTGGTAAAGAAAGTCATTAAGATTTGTGAAAATACTGATTTGTTCAAATCGCTCTTTTACTAATGCAATTGACATCAATTAATGGCAAAAAAATCTGCTTTATACTGATGTTCATTTGCCGAGTGTGATCAACACACTCGTATAAATAAATCGACATTTTTTTTTCGTAAACGTATTATTGGAAAAAACTTTTCAATGCCCGATACTTTTGCAATTTCTGATGCTTTAATACGTGCGTCAGAAAATCCATTTTTGCGATACTCATAAAGAAATGCATTTGTTGCCTTTATTTCACTAGCTAATATGTAGAAAGAGGTTGCAGAAGACTGAATAAGCTTACTTGATATGTTGATTTGAAATAAAATATCATACTAAATAATGATTGATAATAAGAAAGTGCATGCTTTAATATATTCCGTGAGCGATTGTAATTCATCTCTGTGCGTCAGAAACATCATCAGGCAACTCAAAAGGATCATCACGGAGAAAAATAGGCGGAATTGTTATGCCATTTGATGTAGACTCACATATCAACCTATCTGACTCTAGTATTCAAATAATGACAATCAGAATTATTTGTAATTTCTGTTGGTGTCGAAACACTTCCAGGCTAAACTGCTGGTTTCAAAAAATGTGTTAGTTTGGGGTATTTTGTGATTTCCTCTTCTCTTAGTGGCACCACTTTTCACCTTTTTCATATCAATATTTATATTGTGAAAAACTAACGAAAGATAAATATAAATTTTGTTTTTTTTTAATGATATAATTCAAAATTGCAAAAGAGAAATAATAAATTTATAAAGCTTGTGTAATATAATATAATAACCTCGGGAGTGTTAACTCCTTTTTTTTTTTTGCATAAAAAATGCTGTTGCTTTTTTTACGCTTGCATAATTTAGGTAATATAGTGATTAAAAGGCCAGGTTTTTTTTAATAGTAACAGTAGCTATATATTTAAATATTTTTATTATAAAAAATACAATTTTTTTTTTTCTTTTGAAAAGTGCCCCTTAAAAATGCTGCCCCCCCCCCCCAATTGGGGGTCTGGGGAAGCCTAGGCATTAAGGTCATTTATTACAATCAGATCTAGCGCTTTAAACATAATTAGCTTTTAATATTTTGATATTTTAATAGTTCGGCTTTTAATATTTTGTTTTTGAAGAAAATAACACCTAAAATACTTACCTAATCTGTTTACATTTTTAATTTAAAATAATTACATCATTGTTCTTAGTTTTATTTTATAAAAAAATATGTCTATAGTTCTCTAATTTTGATATATTGATAATTTGATAATTTTGGTTTTTAAATGACATGGGTTTTAAAGTAGGGGGGGGGGCACAATAAAAAAGTCCTTTGTATCTAAAATTTTCTTAAATAAATAAAAAAAGGTTCTTTAGAAAAAAACTGGGCCTGAAAACTAATTTTTTTAAAAAACATTAAAGTTGAAAATTATATACATGATCATTTTTTCTGTTTGAGTCTTGTGAATAAGTCTTTATTAAGTTAAAAAAAAATTAAAATAGAGAACATGGTTTTTTCTATTCTTAATAGATTTTTATTTAGATTAATAGCATACAGAAAATAAATACTAATGAAATTGGTTAATACCAAATACAAAAATAAATTTAGCTGTTATGTAGAAATTAATATCTGTGAATTATGAATTATTACATTATGAATTATGAATTATTCCATAATGAAAATGCTGTGTTAGTGAATAAGCTTTGCATAGACTATGAAACAAATAGTATATTCTATTTTATAATATATAAAATAAAATATTTATGTTGCAAGCAGATATATAGTAATTTATCACAAAAAATATATTTTAATAAGTTATTATATTTTAAATGCTATATTCTTATTTGATATAATTTTAAAATAGTATATTTTTGTTTTACTTTATTATATTTGTTCATTTTGTTTAAACTACTCATAAGTTGATAATAAATTAATAAAGATTTAAACTTATTTATTTTTATAAATAACCTTCTTAAATTCTTAATAAATAACCTTCTTAAATTCTAAAAGATTTTTTGAATGAAAAAAATTTGCCAATAAATTATTGGTTCATATTGAGTTGATCCATATTGAATTCATGATACTGAATTATATAAATGTTTACAGCATATTGTAACTAGAATGACATTTTTTAAAATAAAAAATGTTGAAATAAGGGTAAAAAATTTAACATTTATCCACAACCAATTAAAACATAAATTTAAAAATTTTAATTTAAATACTCAATTCAAAAGGTTAAATGTTCAACAATTTGTACTTTAAAATTAAATAAACTTGATTTTGTATTTTAATCATTTGAAGTAAAATAAACCTTGCATTTTTTAATAATCAGTAGATTTTGAATTTTATGTGGGCGAGCATGATAACGAGAAGTAACCTTAGCTAATGCTAATTAAGCAATTGATTTTATATATATTATCCATGAGAGGTCAGCAGTGAACAATTATCCGAGATAAAATAAAGAAGAGGACTAAGTAAAAGGGTTGCCATTCATCAATATAGGAATACTAACAGTATTACAATAGTTGTTGCAGTAAATAATGTTTAATAATAAAGAAATAGATTTTCAATAATTAAACTGACCATTATAGGCAAAATTGTAAAAAAAATTGACTGTTAAAGAAAAAATTGCTTAAATGTTTTCAGTATCTCTTAATTCCTCTAGTTATTCTGTTGTTTTGTATGTTAAACTTTTGTGGGCCTATAGTTCTGTATATTTCTGTATATTGGCCTCACCTTGGTCTTTTTTATGTCCCCCTTTGTATCTATTGACAATTTATTATACATTAATTAGCATTAATCATATTTAATGTTAAACTCATGATAATGTTAAGCACTGTTTAATTTTTAGCAAAGCTTTGTAGTTAGTTCTGAAGGAGATGAAGAACATGACGATCTTTCAGAAATTCTTGAAAATGATTATCAACATGTCAACTATATTAATAATGGTTTTCAATTTCTACCAAACATCAACGAAATGGAAGAAAAATTTGATGAAATAATGACGCTTAGTGAAATACATCAAATTGATAACCTGGCTCAATTATGTAAGCAATAAATGTTCAAAGTATTTTTTAATGTAAATTAAAAGTAAAGAAACTGAAAAAATTCTTTAAAAAACCAAATCAAAATGTCATAGTATATATGGAATATTTAAAAGAAGGAGGTATAAATCCAAACATATATATATATATATATATATATATATATATATATATATATATATATATATATATATATATATATATATATATATATATATATATATATATATATATATATATATATATATATATATGATTTAAACAATTTAAAATGTATTCTACAAAAAGAGTGCTCAATGTGCTTAAAAGAACAGAGCAATTACAAATTAGTAGAAAATCACTAAGCAAAATTTTTTTTGCTAAGTGAAAAAAAAAAAAAATTTTTGCCAAGTGAATTTCTAATAATTTATATATATATATATATATATATATATATATATATATATATATATATATATATATATATATATATATATATATATATATATATATATATATATATATATATATATATATATATATATATATATATATATATATATATATATATATATATATATATATATATATATATATATATATATATATATATATATATATATATATATATATATATATATATATATATATATATATATATATATATATACTCTTGCATGTCTCTTGCATGGCATCAAAAAAAGTTTCCCATAAACTGTAGTTTTAAAGAGCGCGTTAATAAACCAGACCAGAAAAAGTTTTAAAAATTAAATTTTTTTTTTTAATTGATAGACTGCCTGGCCAAACCAAACCCTCAGTCGATGTAGCAGTCAGTCGATGTAGCAGCACTCGATGTAGCAGCACTCCGTTGCGAGTCAGGCTATAAGATAGTCGATGTAGCAACATTTACGCATGTTTTAAAAATGTTTTTTATTAAATCAATAACAAAAACACCACTAATTAAAAAAAACTTTCTAGTCGTTATAATTGCGGTTTTTTAAAAATTTTTTAAAAAACAATTAAATTTAATGTACTTCCGCATAAATTAATTGCTTTGACATTTCGATGACAATCAAAAACAGCTTAAGAGACGAGGTAATTAAAATTGTAGTCGTAAGAGACTTTTTTTACATTAAAACACTCTTTCGACTACACTATATGGGTATATATATATATATATATATTATATATATATATATATATATATATATATATATATATATATATATACATATATATATATATATAGAGAGAGAGAGAGAGAGAGATGTAAGTCGTTTTTTTGGTTCTTGTTTTTTTGCCAAAAAAAAAAAAGGACTTCGTTTCTTGGTTTTTTTGTTTTTTTTTGCGTTTTTGCCTTAAAAACTACTCTTTTTGCATTTTAAACACTGAAATGGTTTTAAAATTTATTTTTGGTGATATTTATTAAATACTTGTTTTAATACTTCCATTTCCCATATTTTTAGTAATGTCTTAGTTTAGCAGTTGTTCAATTATTCAAAAAAAAAAAAAATTTGAAAAAGCAGCATTAATTAGAAAAACAATTTTTTTTTTTAAAATAATTTTTAATAATAATTCTTATAAGTAAAGACAAAGAAGTAAATTTGTATAAGTAAAGGCCATGAATTGTATCTTTTTTAATATTGAACTGTTCTAAGAATTTATTATATGAATGAAGTAACACTGCATCGCAAAATAAGTCAGATCCGGGAATTTTTGGTGTGGGTGTGAGGGGGAATCGGGGCTTGTTAAAAATTTAGTTTATTTTGTATCACATTTTTGCCTACTAAAAAAAATTTTAAAAATTTAAAGATATTTTATAAATTTATGGATTCTGGTGCGGGGTGGTAGGTTCATACCTCTTATTTCCCCTGGATCTGTCACTGGTTTTAAAATTACAAAATTATTTTTCAACTTCTTTAACTTATGTTCATTAAATTTTTCATTAATTCATAATTTTTTTTTGAATAATAATAAATGTATTATTTAATGGAATGAATCAGAATTATCTAAATAAATATTTTTATTATATGAAAGAAATATATTTATTATATAAAACACTGCTTTGCAAAATAAAAAAAGGTAATCATTTTCGTGTTTAATATAAAAAAAATAATTTTTTAGAGGCAAAAATCTTGAAATTTTTTTAAAAAAAATATAACTGTTTAGCCATTTTCCTAATCAAAAAGACAAATATTTTTATACCACTTTGGCTAAACACTCCGTTTACACAAAATTAGTAAACAAATATACCATAAGAGTTTAAAAAAATCCAAAAAAACCTACACCCAAACCGGTTTTTCGCAACTAAATTTTATTTCCGTGGTCAATTATCAAGTGCGATCGCACCCGCTTCCCGACCAAGCCTGGAGGGTGGTCATTAAAAAATAAGGTGAAGTGAGAATCTTTTGAAAATATGAATATAGATAGATGGGAAAAAATTCACAATTTATGAAGTGGTAAGGGTGTTTCTTTGGCACATTACAGAAGTTGTGCATGAAAGGGGATAGTGGTGTGAGACTGGTTGGGATGGGGGTTTGAAATTTACACTAAAAAATTTGGCCAAAGGAGAAATAAATCTTAGATTATATATATATATATATATATATATATATATATATATATATATATATATATATATATATATATATATATATATATATATATATATATATATATATATAATCTAAGATTTATTTCTTCTTTGGCCAAATTTTTTAGTGTAAATTTCAAACCCCCATCCCAACCAGTCTCACACCACTATCCCCTTTCATGCACAACTTCTGTAATGTGCCAAAGAAACACCCTTACCACTTCATAAATTATGAATTTTTTCCCATCTATCTATATTCATATTTTCAAAAGATTCTCACTTCACCTTATTTTTTAATGACCACCCTCCAGGCTTGGTCGGGAAGCGGGTGCGATCGCACTTGATAATTGACCACGGAAATAAAATTTAGTTGCGAAAAACCGGCCAGATTTTTTAGTCCTTTTGAGGACATTTCAAAAATAAACAAAAAAGCGCAACAAGATTAACTGGACCGATGAAAGACAGTTAAAAAAAGAAAAATAGCTTTTAATGCGAAAAAACTTTAAGCAAAATAAATTTATTAAAGCAGTTATTTTTGAAACGTCGCTTTTTTATAATTTTTTTAAAAAAATTAAGCGACATTTTTTATATACAGTAACATCTATAAAGAAACAAATGTTCTTCAATTTATCAAAGAGTATATATAATTTTTTTTTTATATACTTATGTCTTATTTCCAGTGCTGGATTGAGGAGGTGGGGTGGGGGTAGTAGGGCTATAGCCCTGGGACTCACAATGTTAGGGGAAAGAAAATTTTTAAATGTGGCTCCAAGAATTAAAATAATAGTTCGTTTGATAGTATATTCTTAAAATAATTTATGCTAGAAATCTCAACGTAAACGTAACAAAGTTCAAATAATACAGTTTTTTAAAATATTTCAACAGAATACTCAGGACATTCGGTTAGTATTTTTAGAATACTCTAGTTTCGATTTTTATTTTTTAAACCAATAGAATTAGTTGTTCGTAGATTTGGCGGGATTTTTGTTTTCGTTAATATTCTTTTTTTATTTTTCCCGCACTAAGATGTTTGAGAACATTCAAATTGATGAATGTTTCCATTAAGTCCGTAAAACAAAATATTTTAAAATTTTCAATAAAATGAACTTATTATTTTGTGGACAAACAAGGAAACATACATAAACTTAAATGTTCTCAAAACGACTAAAAAATCTGGCCGGCTTTTCGCAACCAAATATTATTTCCGTGGTCAGTTATCGAGTGCGATCGCACCCGCTTCCCGACCAAGCCTGCCACCCTCCCTATTTACTTTACACACTAGAGTTTTATGACTGAGTCAAATTTTTCTAAATTAGGTATGTTAAAAATCCTAACTAAATTTGGGTCATTATTTTTTTCTATAATATATATATATATATATATATATATATATATATATATATATATATATATATATATATATATATATATATATATATATATATATATACTGTCAGATAGGGAAATATGAACATATTTTTATTTTTATTTTTTTTCAATAATTTGCTAAATACAAAAGCTATTGATTTGTAGATTTTATTTAAGATTTACTCCTACAAGATGCACATTATATGTGAAAATCAGCCAGTAGCTTTAAAACTTTAAACACAACTTATTAATGAAATGATTTTTGAAAAATCCAAAAATGGCGTAATATGGCCAACAAAAAGACATAATTTAAACAACAAAACATTACAATACATGTTTATGAAGTTAAAGTAAGTGACAAATCACAAAATAGATTATCAAATATAATTAGAAAAAATTATTAAGAGCTCTAAATTTGTGAACTTTATTTAAGTATTACTCATAAAAGATGCACATTATATGTGAAAATCAGCAATATGGCTTTAAAACTTTAACTTAAATTTATAAATAAAAATCATTTTTGAAAATTCAAAATATGGTATAGTTAGGGCACTTAACAAAAAAACCTAATTTAAACAACAAAACATTGTAACACATGTTTATAAAATTAAAGGAAGTATGTTTCAAATTCAAAAAATAGATTTTTAAAATAAAGTTTAAAATACAATTACGAATGTAATAAAATACAAAAATTCATAACATATTGCAAAGGCAAATTAATCTTTATAATGGCATCTGAATGCCTTGTGGCCTCTATAAATCTTTTTTTAATTTTCTTGGAGCCAGGAATCCTGGCTCTGAAGAACAGCTTACTGTTTATTTTTTCAACAATCTGCACAACCTGATCAAGGACATTGTCTATCTAATGTAATGAACTATGATAAGACTAATCTCAGCAAAAATCCTTAGGATTTTTGCTGAGATTAGTCTTATCTTTTAAGAAAAAATAAACAGCAAGCTGCACGGCTGTTTCAAACCGAGCTTAACGGCTTCTTGTTATTTTTTGAAAATATTGACTAAAAGGGTGTTACTAAAACTTCTATAACTTTTAAAATAATCAAGA